GCCCCAGACAGCATAGCTCCTAGGATCATTGGGACACTCAAACCCCTCCACCACGATAAGGTAGCAGCCCAAGGAGAAAATAAACCATTAATCGACAATTAATCGTAAATCGATTAATTGTTAACATCCCTAGTATAAAGCATTAGATAGGTCACTTTTCCAAGAGGGATCCTTTTAGCATAATGACCCCATGGCCTTGGTGGAGGTTTGCGCTCTCCGAGTGCTTCTAGTTTATATTTTGTATTTAATCAGCACACCATCATTTAGTGTATACATTTTCCCATTTCAATTCAATTCAAAAATGCTTTTGTTGATCCCAAAGGAAAATTACAGCTAGCTTCTGAATAGCAACAATAGCCCTTGCTACCAGAAGCAGCTTCTCCCAGGTTTTTTTCAGGTTAATAATATAAACACAGTCACTTTGTCTCTTGTATCATTTAGCTTTAAAGTTGGTTTGTGTATTAATTGTTGTTGTTTTTTGCCTAAATTATATGATTAATTTTGTTTGTGAGATTGTCTCCAACATGCCAGTATTTGTGTCCTGCTCCTATTCACCATTCACCATCTCGAACAAGTGATGAATACTAACCACCCTTGTTTTGTCTTGCCCTGACTTGTTCATTGACAGTAAATAAACAAAGACAGTTAAATCACAGAAAGAAAAAAATGAAACTTTATTTTAAGTTTATACTTACCAACACTTTGAAATTAAAACCTAAGTAATTACAACTAATATAGATCTGCACATAGCAAATAAATGAATCAAAAATAGATACAAATTTCTATATTTTCCCCCAAAACTGCAGTACACACAAGCAAAAACTAAAAAAACAAACAGAAGATTTTTTTCTTGACGTTGCTGCCACATGAAAGTAGTTAAATTAATTATGCTACACAGCTCACCTGTAGCTAACAAGGAGAATAAAGAATAAATAATTGCACATTGCACCTTATTATTGCATTATTTGCAGTTTGCTTCGAAATTGTAGTACAACATTGTATTCAGGCATATACACAAATATAAATACAGTTTTCAAACACCAAATAACACATGAATATTGATGTTATTGAAATCACACTGTCATTACTTACAACTTAATAGTCCTGCTTTGCAATTAATGTAATTTTATTCTACAAGATTTATTAGTCAGTTAGTGTGTCATTATGATTAATGATGTTTAAGCAAACATCTAAATTATACAGTATGTGTGTACTAACAACTGTTGTATAAAAGATGTATTACCCTCGAGGGCATTCTTTGTGGTTAGAAAGAATGCCCTCTTTGGTTTTTGCAAACATTCCCACTTAAGTACAAGCAATGACAAGTGAAAAAAAATACAAATATTTAGTTTTCGCGCTAGCACTAAGTAAAAGTAAGAATTATTGCAGAATAATCATTGGCCATGTATTGTTCAGTATAATGAAACAGCATTTGGTCCATTTACATAATCCTATTTTGTTGTCAAAATGCTTAACAGCAAAAAGAAAAAAAAAACACTTTGAAAACAACTTTTGCCCAGAGGTTGATGAGGCCTTGGCAGTTAGCTGCCTTAGCTTAAAATAAAACATTGGAAATAGTTGTCAGCACCAACTTTGATGCCAGTGCTAGCTAGCTTGTTAGCTAGACAGGTTTTGTTTTCAGTAGTTATTAATGAATTGTGCTTGGCACTTTATGTTTAAATGTAGAAAGTGATGAAACATTGATTAATTTCTTTTCCCGCCTTTTTTTTCTGGGTCATGGATTTAGAGGCAATTCCATTACACACTGTCTACAGTTATCTACAAAATTTCCATTGTTCATTTTAACAAGTTAGTTAGTGGGGCAAGGTCAACTGATTATTTCTTTTTTCCAATGTTTGTGTTAAGTTTGTTGTGTGCTAGCAGTAACTAACATTTAGTAACAGAAGTCTAATCAATATTTTCATTTAATGATGCAAATAGACATGTTTCTTATGTCACAGGTATTCTTTAGGCTACAGTTTCTTTCAGCAACATGAAATCTGGCTAAATCTGAATAATAAACTCTGTATATGCAGAAAGTTTTCTGTTGGATTAGTTAATGTGATTCAACAATAACATTCAACAGCTGTTTGTGTGTTTCAACATTAAACTGAGCTCAGCTAATGCACAGAAAGAAGACAAACCAAGCTTTTCTTTATGTTTAGTGGGTAATTGAATTATTTAAAATTGACCAGAAAGGGACTCCTTCCTCTCATATTGGGTACAATAAAGCAAAACCAACTTAGCTTAAGTTTTATAATCAGCAAAGAAAATATATGCATCACAACACCATCAATAAATACATCCTGGCTTTACGAAGAACCAGCAAAGCAGAAATTGTCATCCAACTTGTCAAAAAGAAATTAAACATAAATAAAACAATGAAGTTGCTGACATAGTTGTGACAATATAGACATTCAAAACTAAAGCATCAAATCAACCGCATGACAATGAAAAGAACATGACAAGATGAACAATCGTGAAAAAGAGACTGAGTGGTCACGTCCGCCCAGGCCCTGTGGGTTCCCACCAAAGAACCCCTGAACATTCCTTGGCCCCCAAAAGATACCATTTGGGTTTGTCCAAACGTTTAGGCCTCTTCACCAAGAAGACTCTTCTCTCCCACATTTTTTTTCAAACTGTCTTAACAAGCAATAAGCAGCTTAGTAAATTTTTATTACTGTTTTTTTAAACAAAAGAAGGAAGCCAAAAAGTTTGGACCCAACACCTGGCTTTTAAGTCCAACTAGTCCTCCCACAGTAGAGGCAATTCAGAGTAAAGTGTTGAATAGTCTGAATAATCTATTCCATGAGCGCCACGTGACTAATGTGTATAGGCCACAATAGTCCTTGTACAAAACAAATACATAATAGTAATAATAAGTTACTAAACAATCATTTAAAATTTCCATCAGTGTTTTAGCTACTTTTCCCTAATTCCCATTCATGCATCTAAATACTAATAATTAGTGTTGATAAAAGGAGGTTGTGACGGAATTTTTTTTTCTCTGAGCAGGGAGTAGGACTAGACGTGAATGGCCAGAAATGTTGAAAAAAATTGCGGAGAAAAACAGGACCACAAAGATATATTTAGCGCCATTAAAAGGAAAACGGACACAGAGCAGCTTTACTCAAATACACAACTATACAACACCGAACACATGCATTATAAGCAATAATGTAAGTAAAGGAAGTTAACATGAGAAGGAGGCTCAAGGAGTGATACCATTGGCTTAAAAGGGTCATGTGATGCAGCAAAGATTAATGGGTAGAGATTAGACAAATATGCAAATTAGGACAAAAGCAGAACAGTCCAAATATGTTTTTCTATTTTTTTACTTTTCAAAATATTTTATCAAAATTTGATCAGTTGGCTACATCCCACCACACACTATGCCGATAGCATCACTGAGCAGCTGTTTTTTAATACGCAAGTAACTATGTTCTACAAAAAGCTTCAGTCTTTTACTAATATTTTTTCATACTTTTAAATGTTCTATTACGCAGCACTGACACAGATAGAGAAAGCAATAGAAGAGAAAAAGAAGAAACACAAGTATTTCCTAATAAACATTCAACATGCTTTAACAGTTCTCTAAAAAAATCTAATCAACAGAATTTTTATTTAGTATTTTTTTGTAACTTGTTTTATCTTTAAATTGAATTTGGCTCTCTGAAATAAAAGCGAGCGCCAATCCCTCCCTGATGTATTTTGAACCAGGGCGGTGAGGAGGTCAGGGTTTTCGGAGAGCCAGAGCCAGAGTCCGTAGGGCTTCATCAGGGTTGTCTGCAGTGGTCAGTCATTGGAAGGGGTCAAACGGAGGAGCCAGTCAGAGATCTCAGGATGTGGTCATGGAAGATGGGTCGTTCCACATGGCTGCCACGTCTCTGAACCTAAAGGAGGTTAAGATACATTTTCCACAACCCTTTTTCCCAAAAGCTGATTGCAATATTGCCAATTTTCTTAAATGGGCAAAAATCGACAATTTTGAAACATTTGAACCACAACTGATTTCTCTAACCTTGCATTAATGAGGTACTGAGCCAGGCTGATGTTGGCAGGGGTCCCTGTGATGGTGATTTGACGCTCCGATGACCCTTCCATGGCGTTAGCAATTTTGATCTGCGCCCCAGACATCTGACGAATCTCGTTGATTTTGGTTCCCTGGCGTCCGATTATGCAGCCTATTAGCTGGGAAGAAAACAGAGTCCGGATATAGGATGGCTAGGGCACATAAAGAAAAACATTGTGGTTTGACTGTCCCGGGCTGTCTTTTTAGGTCCTTTGATAACAGTTTTTAAACCTAATCTTTAGTTGGTGTCAAAAAGCAGATTGGAGTGACATTAATTTGCTGAAAAGCTACTGTACTTTTGTATTTTTGACAAGTGACGCCCCATGTCAAAAATGTCTTTATCAAGGCATTTTTTGTTGACCAGTATCCCTCCATTTCTAATTTTGTTGTAGATGTGATATTGCTGCTGTAAAGCATTACGCTGTACCATGATAACGTCTGCTTTTTTTTAACACTATAAGAAAGCAGTTCAGAAGCTCCCAAGGGGACATCAAAGGATTTTTTTTCCTTATGTGTAACCTCGCAATACTTTTGCATTTCCATGCAAAAGTTTTGCGTTGCCTCACAATAATGTAATGTTTTGTGTTCAGTGTATTCAGTGAGATGTCTACTTTGAAACAACCGATTACTTAAACAGGATGTGTCACCACAAGTTAAGGACATTGACAGTGATATTGTGTGACTGTGAGATGTTTATTCCAAAGCTGAATTAAAATGGTAACTCCGGTATTATGGTGCTATGATATTAATTTATTAATAATAAACTTAAGACATGACAAAAAATTTAGTGTTACCTTGCAATACTTTGCGAGACAGTTGCCTACCAGTCAAGAGCAACAATGGAACAAACGCTACACCCATGTTTGAGGTTCATGAAGTTTTAATATGAAATAGGATATACGCTCTGGCCACTTTATTAGATAAACCTTTCTAGTATCAGGTTGGACCCACTTTTTCTTTCAGAACTGCTTTAATCCTTTGTGGCATAGATTCAACAAGGTACTGGAAACATTCCTCAGAGAGTCTGGTCCATACGGACATGATAGCATTACACAGTTGCTGCAGATTTGTCAGCTGCACATCCATGATGAGAACCTCCTGTTCCACCACATCCCAAAGGTCTCTATTGGATGGAGATCTGGAAACTGTGGAGGCCATTTAAGTACAGTGAACTCATTGTTGTGTCCAAGAAACCAGTCTGAGATGATTCATGCTTTATGACATGGAGTGTTATCCTGCTGAAAGTAGCCATCAGATGTTGGGTACATTGTGGTCATAAAGGGATGGACATGGTCAGCAACAATACTCAGGTAGGCTGTGTCGTTGACACGATGCTCAGTTGGTACTAATGGGCCCAAACTGTGCCAGGAAAATATCCCCCACAGCATTCTACCACCACCACCAGCCCGAATTGTTGATAAAAGGCAGGATGGATCCATGCTTTCATGTTGTTGATGCCAAATTCTGACCCTGAATGTGGCAGCAGAAATCAAGACTCATCAGACCAGGCAATGTTTTTCCAATCTTCTATTGTCCAGTTTTGGTGAGCCTGTGAATTGTAGCCTCAGTTTCCTGTTCTTAGCTGACAGGAGGGGCACCTGGTGTGGTCTTCTGCTGCTGTAGCTCATCCACCTCAAGGTTTGATGTGTTGTGTGTTCAGAGATGCTCTTCTGCATACCTCGGTTTGAAATGAGTGGTTATTTGAGTTACTTGCTGCGTTTCCATTGACCATGAAAATGCGCAAATTAGAATTTCGAAAATAGATTTGCTTAATGGAAACACATCGATTTAGAAAAAACTTCCTTTTTTGATAAAATGTTTTTGCGCTAGGATGAGGTGTTTTTTTCGGCCATATCGAAACTGGTGTGTTTCGCAAAACTGCAATGGAAACACTTTTTTCGCATCATGGGAGTCAAGTGATCAACAACCGGCTGTTTCTACTGGCGAAAAAGACAATGACTAAGAAGACAACAGGAAGTAGATGTAGTAGTAAAATGACTGAAGTTGTAAAAGAAAGTAGTAAACTCACCGACTACAATTTCCCAAAAATGCTGCATACGTAGCTGCTCCCAAGTATAAGGGGCTTGTCGCTCGAAAGCCTCAATAAGATGCAGACTCTGATGATGAGTGTTAGTACCATGGTAGCAATTCTGCTATGTGTTTACATTCATTGCCGCCATGTTTGTAATGACTTATCGAGAGAACACACATATTCACGTGTGACTTTAAAAGCATTTCTTACTTAATGGAAACACAGGAATTGTGAAACTGTGTTTTTTTACATTAACAGAATATCGACAAAGTTTTGCGCACATTTGCAATGGAAACGCAGTTACAGTTGCCGTTCTATCAGGTTGAACCAGTTTGGCCATTCTCCTCAGACCTCTGGAATCAACAAGGCATTCGCACCCACAGAACTGCCACTCACTGGATATTTTCTCTTTTTCTGACCATTCTCTGTAAACGCAAGAGGTGGTTGTGGGTGAAAATCCCAGTAGATCAGCAGTTTTTGAAATACTCAGACCAACCAGTCTGGCACCAACAACCATGCTACGTTCAAAGTCACTTAAATCATCTTTCTTCCCCATTCTGATGCTCGGTTTGAACTGCAGCAGATCATCTAAATGCATTGAGTTGCTGCCATGTGATTGGCTGATTCAACATTTGCATTAATGAGCAGTTGGACAGGTGTACCTAATAAAGTGGCCGGTGGGTGTAAATCTAAGAATATCAACAGCATATAAGGAAAGACACACATTCCACATCAGTTACATTGCATGGGCATTCAAAAAGTATTGCGAGGTAATGCTAAAGTATTGTGTGTTAATGCAAAAGACAAACAAACAAAAAAACAAACAAGCAAACAAAAACTAATGTCCTTGTAAAGTAAGAGTTAATAGTCATTCAAGGGATCCCCGATTAGTTGTAACATTAGACTTTATATGATAAACATATACTTTAACTGTAAAATAAAGACTGTAAAAGTACTATAGGATGTTCAGTTTTTATAATTTTTAAACTAAAAGTTTAAAAATACATTACATGGACGGGGCCATTTTATTTACACGCAAAGCATTCTGGGAAATTGATGACATCAACTAGGTCATCAGCACGAGGTTGCTGTGAGCCAGATCCACCCTGAAGGTTAATCTTGGACAATATCTGATGACTGGCTTTTTTAAATGAAACCAGAGAGCATTGACAGAGAGGGGAACGCAAAAATGACTCAGCCTATAACAGAAAATATGGATGCTGTCCTCAGTTTAGCTTGTTTGTCGCACAAGCACCGAGCTAATACATATAAGGCAATATAGCGTGATGGCTAGCGCAAAGGCTAACAGGCTAAGCTGAGGTTCTTCTTCCATGAAGCAGCTCTGTTGTCCTCCATCCATATTTTCAGTTACAGGCTGAGTCATTTCTACCTTCTCCTCTCTGTCAACGCTCTCTGGTTTCATTTAAAAGAGCCGATCATCAGATATTGTCCAAGATTAAACATCAGGGTGGATATAGCTCCCTAGCATCCTCACACCGATGACCTAGCTGATGCCATCATTTACCCAGAATGCTTTGCGTGTAAATAAAATGGCCCCATCTGTGTTAAAATATATTTTTAAAAAATTACAAAACTAAACAGCCTACAGTATTTTTACTGTCTTTATTTTACAGTTGAAATAAATGTTTATCAAATAAAGTTTAATGTTACAACTAATCGTGGATCCCTTTAACTATTTTGTGACTGTCGAGATAGAGCTATATTCCACCACTTTAACTAGACATTTAAAACCAAACTCTTGGCTGAGAACACTTAAGGTGGGAACATACTCGCTCCGACGCTGACGGGTCGACGCGCGGTCACGTGGTTGTTCGGCAGTCGTTTTCGCACAGACCTTTCATAGTCCCTACGACACCCCCGCGCCAAATTCGGGAAACCACCCTCCCTGAAACATACGTCACTGCATGGAGTTCCCCCGCAACAGCCGATAATGCAGAAAAAAAAAGTCAGATTTGTCACTCACCCGACGTATTTATCCACATCTGTCCTGGTTAAAAAGCTCCACAGTTTCAGATTCCTTTGTGCCTGTTTATCTGCTATGTCTGTTTATCTCCATTCATGAGTTTTTCACGGTTTGACTATCTTTATAAAACTCTGCTTCCTGGTCGGCTCGGGGAGCAAGTTTTTTTTTTTTTTTTTTTTTTTTTTTTTTTACCGAGTGGTTGAAGTAAATGCAGCGCATGGCGCTGTCAGCACAAACATGCACGAGTTTTTCTCGGTTTGTCTATCTTTAAAACTGCTCAAAACAGTCTGCTCTAGTCAGAAGCGAGTTTTTGTTTTTTTTCTTCTGCTGTGTCCGTCCGAGCACTTTCAGTTCAGACCAATCACACATTACCGTCGACACGGGAGCGGGGTCAAAAAGTTCTGCCGGCGGGTTGTGCCAAAAGGGGCTGTCGACACGACGCTGCGAAGCCCGGTGACGTAATTTTCGTCATTAAACTGCGACAACCCGTGCCGACGTCGGCAGTTCGCACGGAGTATGTTTCCAGCTTTAGTTCCCCAGCAAACTAGGCTGGCTACACAACACACTTTATAGAAAAGTTTCTGCTGAACATTGATAAGGCAACAGGAATTACTAAAAGAGTAACTTTTTTTATTGTTCTTAACCCAACCCATTGTTGAGGTGGAGAAAACATTTTGTGTTGCCGTTTGTAGCTGTTGAAGCCATGGTACCCTCCTGATGTCACAAAACCAACAAAGTGCTACCTGAGCTATTTTAAATAGTTCATAATCACTTAACATATTCTTTTCTTTGTTAACAATAAAATAACAATCTGAGGATCAATGTGAATGCAGGTTTTCTTGACAGCCATTTATAGCTACTGTGGTATCAAGGTGTCCTGTTGGCAAATATTTAAACCAAAAAGCAAAATAATGCAAGTATCAGATTGAGACGTTTTATCAACCGATACCTAATTTTAAAAAACTTGGACCTGTATTATTGTAGATACTTTCCAAATATGTTTGAGAGGTTTAGCCTCTGACCAGTGTCATGCTTTGCTTTGGTTTCACCTAATTGAGAGATGAGTACTAAGTTTAATTTATGAAACTAATTTCATTTAATTTAATGTATATCACACTAACCATGATGGATTTTTGAAAAGATTTGACACAAAGCGTCAGAACTTTCAATAACAGCAGTAGTTTTAGGGTATTGGTATTGACAAATGTCAAATGAAAATGCACTGGTTACGACAACTGTACTCACATCATTGGGAATGGTGAGTTCATGAGTACTGGCCTGGTTACTGGCATCCAGACCTGCTGCTGAACACAGGAAGCAGATAGAAAGGCAGGGGGGAAACAAAGGGACAGAGAATAGTTTGGCAACGTTGAGGGAACAATTTATGAATTCTATTCACTGAATATTAGCAGCCTCACTAAAAAGAGTGGCTCAGCCCTAAGCAAAGCCTACATGTCACGTTTTCTAAGGACTAGAAGTGCAATTGAGTATATTAAGTAAAAAAAAATCAAGTAATCTGAAGTTTTAAAAACAAGATACTAAGGGAAAACCAGACATTGAAAAGAAAAACCCTCAACATAAACAAGAGCAGACCACCAGCAGGCCATGTCAATCGCAGTGCACCACAGAGACCATAAGGAACAAGAATGACGAGAAGAAAAAGAAGAAGAGAGAGGACAGTGACAGGAAAAGAAAAGAGCAAGAGAGAAAAAAAGGAGGAAGAGAATGTTTTTTTTTCTCTACAGGTAAAAACAAGAGAAGGATCTTTGGTGAAGAGGGTCATTGTGTAGGTGGGTACGTACCGGGGAAGGCAGGGGTGGTCTGTCCGAGGGGGGTAAAAGGGGTTTGCTGCATAGCCAACTGGTGGAGCTTGCTCAACTGCTGAGGGGGGGAGGAGGAGGACAGCAGAGCTATGAGGTCATCGTTAAAAACGAACGCTGGCACGCACACGCTCGCACACAGACACACGTTAACACACACACATACACACACATATATAAAAAAGTATAGAAAGAGGTCTGTCAGACACGCTAAAAATGTAGAGAAAGGATCTGAGGAAGTAAGTGAGAACACAGAAAGGTGATGGTAAAAAACAAAAGAGGTAGTAAAAAAACTGAAGCGATGAACCTCATGAAAGACTTGGCCTCATAAGAACATTGTAGTTATGTTGGTTCAATGAGCCCCACCCCTCATAATACTGCTATGCTTTGAGCATTATGTTGGTCTTATAAAGTTCATCCCTGGCTACATTCACACTGCAGGCCGATGCAATCTATAGCAGGTTTTTCCATGACAGTCTAAACATGACAAATCCAATTTATTATTTTATTTTTTCAAATCTGACCCAGGTCTTTCCAGTATGTGGTACTAAATCAAATATCTGATGTTTTTCAAAGCGACCGCAGTTAAAATGCTCATGTTGCAATTCATCTGAGTTTTACATGAGTGAGGTGAGGGTATACATATCAATGCTAACCTTGAGTCATGCAGTTTAAAGCTTGGAACATTGCACATTATCAGCTACAGAAGAGAAGTCCAGTTGCTTTGTCTTTTTTCTTTGAATTTGCCATGTCCTAGATAACATTTGACAGCAAAGTTGGTATTGGGCCGTGCCAATACTAAAGTTACAGGATCGAAACTTTAGTTAGTTTCACTTGCTGCATGTTGCTCCTGTTCCAAAAATACAGCGCTGCACCAAAGCAGCCAGCAAGACATGATCAAATGGAAACACCGGACGAAACAAGCATAGCAAATAATCATTTAACTGTCTGATTGCACAGCAAATTCGAACTGGCATGTAGCATCCATAGTTACTCCTGTAAATGCGTGCTGAGTGTGATGTCATGGTGTGATGTGTGGGTCTCATCAATGTCTCATCAGTGGACACTGGAGTTTGATGTAGGTTGCATTTAATTTGAACATTCAGGCAAAAAAATATGTCAATAAAAAATTATATACACACTTGTATCTGAGGTGATGAATGATATAATTCTGACTGGTTTGGTTCTGGTTTGATTCCATATACTTTACTTGTCCACTTTCCGTATCTGTACTCTGTGCAGTTTCATTTTTAGTGTACCTATATGTGGTTGTATCTATTAGCTAAGACTAATTTCTAACACATACACTGAGTACTCAGCTTTGGCAGGATAGGCCATACTCAGCAATACGCATGTCTTCAAGGAATTTACCCCCAATTTACACTACTTGCGTTCCATCTCCACTCTGCTCCGGTCCGACCTCCGCAGCAAATACACACCCATTATAATCAATGAGAATGTTTACACTGGCTGCGCACGGTGGCGCAGGGCGGCGGTGAGAGGCGGTGAGTGAACGGCGATCGATCAAATTTAGAACAGATCCTATTTTTGCCGGATGCCGGAGCAGCGCTGGAGTCAATTTTTAAAGATTACGTCGCACCAACAGGAAAAGACACGAGCACAACATCCTGTTTTCAAAATAAGACACTATTAGGTGGAATAATTTGTCGGAATAATGTCGAAATTGCAGCTATATTAATAAATATACGGACATAATTCTACACAAAGTCTGTCAGAATGTATCGTTCTGTTTGGGAAGCAGATAGAAACGTAGCATGAAGCATATGCGTACACACTAGGGTTGGGTATAATCGTATCGTGTGCAATTAATCGTCAGAAAAACATTAATCAATTATTTTTTGTCACTTGACAATTAATACGATTAATGCCACCAGGCAGATTGACTGGAGATTTCCCCGGTCGGTCTGCTCGGTGCTCTTCTCCGCTTCAAATATGACGAACATTAAAAAAAAAATTCTGTAATTTATTTATCTATCAACACAATTTAAAATTTGATGTATAGCCCGAAGTCTGTAATTTTGACAATTTGGAACAGATTTTTATGAAGAGCAAATATTTCCCACTAAATTGGTCATGTGACTAAGACATAAGTGTGTCCAGGGACTCCAGAGCAGTGGTTCTTAACCTTTTTTGAGGTACCGAAC